GAATCCAGGGAGCCGCTTTTCCCTCCAGTAGTTGTGGGTGCCCTGTCACTGACGGTCGTAAGAAGAGACAGGGCAACCATTTGTCCAGAATGATATAGGGCAGGGATCCTCAACTTTGACAGCTTTACGACTTGTGGACTTCAACTCCCAGAATTCCTCAGCCAGCGCGTGCTGGGAGTTGAAGTCCACAAGTCATACAGTTACCAAGGTTGGAGACCTCTGCTTAGGCGGGCGGTGGGGGTTAGATTAGATGACCTCCCAGCTCTGTTAATCTATACAGGTACTCCTCGACTTATGTCGTTTTAAATTTTTATTAAGGTACTAGCTCGATATCCGTGCTTTGCTACAAAACTATGTGGTCAGGCTTAGTTTTGGAGGAATGAAAATAAGAGGGGGCGGGGGAAAATTGTGCCTCTGCCTACCAGCATCCATCGGTATTCCTCCGGCTAGCATCCTGTCAGTGTGTGAGAGAGCTGAGGGCTGTTTGGAAACTGAAGCAGTATTTGCTGTGTGAGCACGGAGGAGACAGCAAGGAGCCTGGGCGTGGCTTAGCTCAACTGTTCTGTACTAAAGCTGCTTGGTGCTGCTGTGAAACTTAAGTGAAACTAAAATTCTTCTCTGCTTGTCTTTTGCATTTGGAAGAGATTTCTTTCCAGGTGGGGAGGCAGAGTAGAACTCCTTAGTATCAGAGCGTGTTAATAACAACAACAACAACAATAATAATAATATAGAAAATATTCTAAATGCCCTGAGGGTCATTTTGAAAAATCTTTTCTTAGTGAACCCCTAGAAGCCAAGAGGAAGATATGGACCCAATTTCAAGTTTGTAGGCTTTACGGTTCTGGAGATTTTGTGATGACGTGTGAGGGGTCTTTCGCTTTTATACAGATAGATTATAAAATACAAAATATAAAAGCAAATAAGAGGACAATGAAGAGGAAGGGAAAAGGGGAAAGAAAAGTGAGGAAGGATAGGGATAGAGAAAGAAAAACGGACTTCCGGCTCTCTCTGTTACAGTAAAATAAAGCATTAACCTCAAATCACAGCTTTTTGCTTTTCCGTAATAGCCTGAACAAGCCATTTCTATAAAGATCTATCAACCTGATCTGCAAAACCCAAAATCAATGTTTCACTCTTTTCCACTTCAAGTACGAAGTTCAGAAGCGGTTTCCATGTGGAAACAAAAGCACTTCCGTTCTTTTTCTTCGAGCAAAGCGGTCAATTTTGCCATTTCAGCCAACTCCTGCAAAACATTCTTCCGTGGGAGGAATCGAAGGCAGCCTTTGACTTAGGACCACAGCCGAGTCCAAAATTTCCGTGGCCAAGTGAGACAGCGGTCAAGTGAGTTTTGCCCCCATTTTAGGACATTTTCTAGACTCACGGTTGTTAAGTGAATCGCTGCAGTTCTTAAATGAGTAACCCGGTTATTAAGTGAATCTGGCTTCTCCACGGAGTTTGTGGGTCAGGAGGTTGTAAAAAAGGGGAATCGCGTGACACCCTCTCCCAGGACGCTGCGACCGTCACATATACAAGCCAATTTGCAAGCCTCCTAATTTTGCAAGGCTCCGGTCGTAAGTCCGGGAAACGGCCACGAGTCCCTTTTTATCCGTGCCTTTGTAACTTTGAACGGCCACTAAACGAACTGTTGCAAGTCGAGTGTCAGGATTCCAGGAATCGCCCTAATTAAATCATGATTCTCGAGCCAAACTTCAAAAAACTTCAAAGGATTTATTATGAGGCAACATACTGGCACTGCCCTGTATGAAGCCAACTCTGCCATACGTCATTTACAGTCCCCTGTGACCCTGTTACAGATAGATAGACCCTCCCTCCCTCCCTGGGTGTGTCATAAATCAGATTCTCCAACTGAGCACCTTCACAGGCTGGGTGTCATCCATCACGTTCTCCAAATTAAATATATTCCCGGGCAAAAGCTCTGGTAGTTTAGTTACAATCTTTTAAAGATAAAGAGTTGGAATGGACTTCCGCTTCCAAACAGCTGCAGATTTCCTTCGCCTTCCCTTTTTAATGGCAACTACTGAAACAGGCCTAGGAATGTCTACCCTTCTGTCTGATGATGTATAGGGTGGAGGAAGAGGAAGAGGAAGAGGAGGAAGAGAAGGAGAAGAGAAAGGAGGAGGAGGAGGAAGAGAAGGAGAAAAAAAAGGAGGAGGAGGAGGAGGAGGAGGAGGAGAAATAGGAGGAACATGGGGTCCTTGCTGCTCTTGGAGCTCGGTGGCTTTCTTGCAGACATTTCAGCACCCAACTAGGTAATGTCATCAGTGCTGGAAGGAAGTGGGATGTATAGGGTGGAGGAGGAAGAGAAGAAAGGAAGGAGGAGGAGGAGAGGAAGAGGAACGTGGGGTCCTTGCTGCTCTTTCAGCTTAGTTACTTTCCTGCAGACATTTCATGACCAAACTAGGTAACACCATCAGTGCAAGAAGGGAGTGGGGAATGAAACATCTCCCAGATTCATTAGAGGCGACATACCTGCACTGCCCTGTTTGAAGCCAACTCTGGCCTACATCATTCACAGTCCCCTGTGACCCAGTTTCCCCCCTTTCCCCCCCGGGTGTGTCATAAATCAGATTCTCCAATTGAGCACCTTCACAGGCTGGGTGTCATCCATCACGTCCTCCAATTAAATATATTCCCGGGCAAAAGCTCTGGTAGTTTAGTTACAATCTTTTAGAGATAAAGAGTTGGAATGGACTTCCGCTTCCAAACCGCTCCACCGCTCTTCCAGATGTCCTTCCTCCCTCTTTTTTTATGACAACTACTAAAGCAAGCATAGGAATGTTTTATGAGTTGACATCGAGGACTGCCTTTATCCCAATAACAGGAGTTGGAAGGGGCCTCAGAGGTCTTCTAGTCTAACCCCTTCCTCAAGCAGGTGTTGTGGTTCACCTGCAGCAAGTGCGGGTGGCTGAGGAGAGTGAGGATGCAGATGAGGGGCCAGGACCATCAGGGAGTGGACTCCTGCCTTCAGAGACTGTGGGGGCTGGCAGCAGCGATGAGGAGGTTCCCAAGGAGCTTGTGCCAAGTGCGCATGCGCGCAGGGCTGCTCATAGGAGAGCAGTTACAGCAGCACAGGCGACTCAGGAGTAAGGCTGCAAGGTCGTGGCCCCTCCTTCAAGAAAATAAAAGCCAGCTGTGAATTCGACGTTCTTTGCAGGAAGCAAAGATGTTTTGAAACTCAGCCTCGTGGACATTATAGTATCTTAATTTGGTATTTCAAGACTTCTTGTGTTGTAAAATATTTCTTATCTGTCATTCTTGGCAGACTAGCACAGTTTTGGCAAGGTTTGTGTTTATCAAACTTAATTAATTTGCAGCAGCCTTTTAACCGGGGATTCATAAGACTCATTAAAAGGTTTCTGTTCCCTTTGGTTCGTGTTTGTTTTATTGGAAAAGGGTTTGGGTCAGAACACTAGGAGACCCGCTACCTTTCCAGACAAGTGGCTGTCCGAAGGTTACAAAAGGGGATCACATGACCCCGTAAATATTGAGACGGTGCAACCATCATAAATGTGAGTCAATTGACAAGCATCTGAATGAAAAAAAAATTACGTGACCGAGAGGATGTACAATGGCCGTAAGTGCGGAAAATAGCCTTGACGTCAACTCATAAAATATTCCTCTGGTCTTTTTAGAGTTGCCAACAGAAAGGGAGGGGGGACAGAACAGTGCGGCAGCTTGCAAACCGAAAGTGCATTCCATAAATGTTTTCAAAGATAGTAACTAGGCGACTGAAGTTTCTGCCGTGCGCAAAATTCTAACGGGAGAACACGATTGATGACTCTGGGCTATGGATGTGTCCCATTGGAGAATATGAATTAGGATACACCCAGGGGGTGGGGGGAAAACCAGGGTCAAGGGTGACAAGGAATGATGTGTCTCAGAGTCGGCTGCACCCAGACAATGCTGGCCTGTTATCTACCAATAAATCCTTTTGAAGTTTGGCTAAATGACACTTCTATTTGCAGATTGGGCGGGAGGAGCAATTTTTACACCTCACGTCCGTGCTACATGGAACCACCCAGGAAATACGCCGAGGGAATCCACCCTCCAAACACGCTGGACTACAGCTCCCATCTTCTCTGATTGAATACGATGGCAGTCACGTTTTTCCAAAGGCAGAATTGAGTTAGGAGAGTTGGTCCGCTATGGTGAAAAAGTTTTCTAGGGGTTACAATGGAGGACAGCCATCTAGGAGGTCCTCCAAGAGGGGAAGAGCACAGCCTTCACACACACACACCCTCCAGCCTACCTCACAGGCTTGTTGTAAAGAAGGATCCCGTTCCCTCTTTAGGGACAAGAGAACGAACTGTAGCAGCTGTAGGTGGAAAAAGGCACCTTCCATTCGGAAATTCCAATTTTAAGTCATGCATTCTGGGCTGGGGAGCGTGGATTCTCAGACGCCCACAAGTGAAGAATGACAGAACAAGAGAATAATAGAATAATGGAGTTGGAAGGGACCTTGGAGGTCTTCTAGTCTAACCCCCGCTTAAGCCGGAGACCCTGTCCAATCTTTTCTTCCACAGCTTCGTGTGTGTGTGCGTATGTGTGTGTGTGATGCACTCTGAGCTTCGTTGTTTTGTTGCAGATCTTTCATTACCCAAACTAGGTCACAATCACTAGCAGTAATGGTGTCGCCTAGTTTAGGTAATAAATGCATAAAATAAAAACCAGGGTCAAGGGTGACCGTGAATGACGTACCTCAGAGTCGGCTGCACCCAGGCCGTGCCGGCATGTTTACTCCTAATAAATCTTCTTTTAAGTTTTGATAATCCGGCTAGAGACCCCTGATTTAAATGAGGGGGTAACAATCGGAGCCCTGCCCCCTGAGACCCTTTTCCCCCAGGCCGTTGTAACGTTGAACGGTCACTAAACGAACTGTTGTAAGTCGAGAGCTTCCTGTGTTCTCGCCGAAAGCTTTCAGCGCCTTTGCCGGAAGCCCCGCCCCGCCCCCCCACCAACCGAGACCGACCCGTTGGGATTCAGAGATACGGCTCTTCTCCTTCGTCCACGTTGCCTCCCGCAGGGGCTGCCTCGTTGTTCTCCAGGTCAGACAGTGGCAGCCCGTGGCTTCCCGGCAGGTGCTCCAACTCGGTGCTGCGCACGGTGGTACGCATGCTGCTGGGCGAGCGCTTGTGGGAGCCCCACTTGCGGGGCCGCCGGTGGCACATGACCTCTTTGAACATCTCGCGGAAGCGGCTGGACATCAGGTTGTAGAGGACGGGGTTGACGGCCGAGCTTAGGTAGAAGAAGACCCCCGAGAAGACGTGGACGTACTGGAACATGCGCTGCATTGCGTCCGTCCAGTGACTGACGAAGCTCCAGACGAGCCGGTCGGTGTGGAAGGGAGCCCAGCAGATGCCAAACACGACCACTAGCATGACTGGAGGGGGGTGGAAACAAGGACGGGAAAGCAAAGTTAGGGACCAATTTGGCCGATTGGAAATCAGAGCCTCCATTCGAGCCGATCGGTGGAGAAGAATAGAAATAGGAGCGTGGGGTGGAACTGAGGGGTCCTTGGTGCTCTCTGAGCTTGGCGTGTTTTCTTGCAGATGTTTCATTGCCCGGTTAGGTAACATCAGCAGGGCTAGAAGGGAAGAGGGTTTGCGAGGAGGAGGAGGAGGAGGAGGAGGAAGAGGAGGAGGAGAAGGAGGAGGAGGAGAAAGAGGAGGAGGAGAAAGAGGAGGAGGAGGACTGTAGAGGCCTTGGTGTTCTCTGAGCGTGGCTGTTTTCTTGCAGATGTTTCATTACCCAGTGAGGTAACGTTGTCAGTGCTTGAAGGAAAGTGGGTTTGCATGGAGGAGGAAGAGGAGGAGAAGGAGGAGGAGGAGGAGGAGAAAGAGGAGGAGGAGAAAGAGGAGGAGGAGGAGGAGGAGGAGGAGGAGGAGGAGGAGGAGGAGGAAGAGGAGGAAATCTGTGGGGTCCTTGGTGCTCTCTCAACTTGCTTGTTTCCTTGCAGATGTTTCAAAGGTGCTTCCCCCACCCTACCCCAAGAGGCAACTGGACTTTCCGGGTTTTCTTTGAAGATGTTTCACTTCTCATCCAAGAAGCTTCTTCGGCTCTGACTGGATGGTGGGAGATGGATGAGTCAGAGCTGTGAAACATCTTCAAAGAAAAAAACAGAAAGTCCAGTTACCTCTTGGGGGGGAGGGGAAAAAAGCACCTTTGGGACCACCACGACTTGGATGACTTTAGAATTTCCACAGACATTTGCAGACGTTTCTTTACCCAACTAGGTAACATCATCAGTGCTAGAAGGGAGTGGGTCTGTGAGGAGGAGGAGGAGGAGGAGGAGGAGGAGGAGGGCTTGGTGTTCTCTGAGCTTGTTTGTTTTCTTGAAGATGTTTCATTACCCAACTAGCTAATATCATCAGTGCAGTAGTAAATGCACGCTTGTCACCGTGCGCCCAAATTTTGATCATGCGGCCGTGCTGCAACGGCCATAAATGTGAGGACTGATGATAAAATCAGTGCCGTGGTGACTCTGAGTGGTGACGAAGCAAATGCTTGCAAATTGAGGACGACCTGAACTTCCACACACACACACACACACACACAACGGCTGTTGGGTCGAGAACACAACACTCCTAAGGAATCTCTTTTAAGCAGAAATCTCCAGTTGTCTCGGAAATCTTTAGCAGTCTTGCAGAAAAGAAACCCTTTCCTCTACCTGCCAAATCCCTCGCTTCTACCATGTTTGCTCTTTGGCTGCGGGTAAAAAAAATAAACGGAGTCCTGTTCAGGTCAGTTAACGTCTAATAGAAGAACTAGAGTTGGAAGGGACCTTGGAGGTCTTCTAGTCCAACCCCCTGCCCAGGCAGAAAGCCTTATGCCAGGGGTTGCTTTCATCCAAGGAGCCACAAAAGGTCCTAATGGGTAGCCACCATTCAATCCTGGAGCTGACCAGAAGTCCAGTTTTACCCCCATAGAGTCTCCTTTTCAGCGCAGCGTCCTTTTTCCTCTACCTATCCTAACCGAAATCCCTATCAATTGTGGAGCCAACTGGAAAACACACCCCTTGCCATAGAGTCTCTCTCCTGGCATGCTGGGCTTCCCTTCCCCGCAAACCGGAAGCTCCTCTCAAAATGGTGGTGCGGACTAGTGACAGGGAGCCACAGCAGAGGGATGGAAGAGCCACATGCGGCTCCAGAGCTGCGGGTTGCCGACTCCTGCCTTATACCATTCCAGACAAATGGCTGTGCAATCTCTTCTTAACAACCTCCAGTGTTGGAGCAGCCACAACTTCCGGAGACAAATTATCTGCCCATCTCGTGGTGTAACCGTAGAAATGGTGGTAGACGTTAGGAGAAACCCTCCCATACTACCACCTCTTACAGCACGAGACAACACAGTATCAACAGTAGAGACCTTCCAAGAGAGAGCGGCTCCGGATGTGAACTTGTAGGGCCGTTCAAATCAGCCGCTTTGCTCTCCTGCTGAAATGTATGCTGAACAGAATGACAGAGTGGGGAGGCACCTTGGAGGTCTTCTAGTCCAACCCCGCCCCCTGCTCAAGCGGGAGACCTTAAACTGGAGCCCCCCACCAAACTTCAGGGCCTCGGGGACTGGTTCTGTCCAGGAAGGTTTTCCCACAGACTTGCATTCCCATGGATGGGTTTTTGGTTGTGTTGTGTTGTGGCTCGCCAACGGCTAGCAGAGCCGGCAGCAGAGTCGGAAAGCGAGGAGGTTGGGGAGGAATAGGGGCCAGTCCTGGAAGCTGAGGAAGGCTGAGATGAGAGCTCTGTGTCGGAGGCAGAGATGGGGCAGGGCCGCCTGGCAGTTATCAGCTGCCTTCAGACTCAGAGATCAGTGGGGAAGAAGAATAGCTGGAGCCTGTTCCCAGCGTGCGCATGCACAGAGCTGCCAAAAGAAAAGAACAATTGCAAACTAAGGGGTCGATGTGGAAGTAAGGCCACAGGCGGACGGTGAATGGCCCCTCCCATAGGGATAAAAAGGGGAGCAAAGGGAGAGGGGGCTTTTGCAGGAAACAATTCATTGATTGCAGCAGTGTGAAGATCTGTCTGTGCAACTCAAGAGACCCTGTGCCGAGTCCTTCCTTGTCAGCACCGCGTTTGGAAGCATTTACTTGGCAGCTCTCCAAGCTAGATGAGGTCTGCGCTCCTAATCACTCCCTTGAAGGATTGTTTGCCAGGCCGTTGGTGGAATGCGAGTGCAAGAAAGTCACCTTCGTTTAATGAAAGGGGTTTTGCCGGGACGAAGAGTCGGCTTAGTGCTTTTTGGGGGGAAGCCTCAGTCAGAACAGCTTGTTTGCGCGGCCTGGTTTTTGTCATGTCGTGACCCGGTTGCCAGCCCATGGAACAGAGGTTGGGGAACCCTGTCCTAGGACAGGGCTGTCCAATCTCTTCTTAAAAACCTCCAGTGTCGGAGCACCCGCAACTTCTAGTGGCAAGCAGTTCCCCTGGTTGATTGTCCTCAGGCAGTTTCTCCTTAATCCCAGGTGGCTTCGATGGGTTTCTATCCATTGCTTCTTGCCCTGCCTTCAGGTACTTTGGAGAATAGGGTTTCCTGCCTAAGCAGGGGGTTGGACTAGAAGACCTCCAAGGCCCCTTCCAACTCTGTTATTCTATTTCTATTTCTTTGTGGCAGCCCCGCCCTCCAAATACTGTAATACTACTATCATGTCTCCCCTAGTCCTTCTTTTCATTAAACTAGACAGACCCCATTCTCAACTGTTCATCGTACCCCTACAGGTAGTCCTCTCTTACAACAGTTCATTTCGTGACCGTTCAAAAGTTACAACGGCAATGGAAAAAGCTGGACGTAGGACCGTTTTTCCACAGTTACGACCTTTGCAGCTATGGTCACGTGATTAAAATTCAGAGGCTTGGCTATGGGTTCATAATTAGGACCGTCCCAGCGTCCCCGGGTCACGCGATCTACTTTGGCCAAGTCAAGGAGGAAAGCCAGATTCACTTAACAACCGGGTGACTAACTTACCAACGGCAATGATTCCCTGGACAAATAGGGCAAGCCATGTTGTAAACCGGGGTGTAAATTCGCTTATCGAATTCTTACTTAACAACATAAATTTGGGGGCTGCGTTGTGGCCGTTAAGTTGAAGACGAGTGCAGAACCCATGGAGGTCTGTACGGAAGGATTTTGCAAGACCTCCTAGATTTCCGTAGACGCAGGGGGCCTTTGCAATACCTGGTTAAATGGAAGGAAAGGCCTCTCACAGACGCATCTTGGGTGGTACATGCAGATAGGCAAGAAAAACCCAAAGGACCCATACAGACTGGGTGCAACCAGGCTCAACAGCAGGAACTGGGAGAGGGATCTTGGACTCTTAGTGGACAACCAGCTAAAAAGGAGCCAGCCGTGTGAAGCAACAGCCAAAAAAGCCAATGCAATCCTAAGTTGCATTAACGGAGGGATACAATCGAGATCAAATGAGGTACTAATACCACTCTGTAAAGCCTTAGTAAGACCACACCTAGAGTACTGCATCCAGTTTTGGTCACCACATTACAAAAAAGAGGTTGAGACTCTAGAAAAAGTACAGAGAAGAGCAACCAGGAGGATTTAGGGGACTGGAGGCTCAAACATACGATGAACGGTTGCAGGAACCGGGCCTGGCTAGTCTAGGGAAGAGAAGGACCAGGGGAGACAGGAGAGCATCTTCCAATATTTGAGGGGCTGCCACAGAGAGGAGGAAGGGAGTCAAACTATTTTCCAAAGCACCCAAAGGCCAGACAAAGAACAATGGATGGAAACTGAACAAGGAGAAATTCAACCTGGAAATAAGGAGAAATTTCTTGATAGCGAGAACAATCAACCCATGAAACAGAAGTTGCCTTCGGAAGTTGTGGGAGCGTCATCACTTGAGACTTTCGAGAAAAAAATTGGACTGCCATGTGTCAGAAATGGTATAGGGTCTCCCGCTTGGGTGGGGGGTTGGACTAGATGACCTATAAGGTCCCTTCCAACTCTGATTATCTGCTATGTTATGTAGCAGCCCCAAGGCTATAGCAACAATTTCACAGGAAACATCCTACAATGGGGGGGAAGTAGAGAAAGTACGTGGCATGTCTCTCATTCTGTGAACTCTTCTCTTCCGGGCGGATCTGTGGTAGAGGGGGGCTGCATGTCAGGCTCCAGGTATCCATCCGCTCATCCCGGAGCTTGACACGTCTGACGGGGGCTCACCTGGGTTGCCGGGCATATCACCGTACAATTCCAGCTTACGACGCCCCTACCAGTTATTTGGAGGGATGGGATACAACGGCCCAGGATCTGGCAGACGCACATAGCCGCCTGCGGACATGGACGCGGGAATATGAGCCGCTGAAGATGGACATTGGAGAAACGAGACAAGTGTCAGGATTCCGGCAGTTACTCTAATTAAATCATGAGCCTTGAGCCACACTCCCAAAACTAAAGAGGATTTATTTGAAGGTAACATTCTATTTCTGGCACTAAACTGGGCGTAGCCAACTCTGAGATATGTAATTCACTGTCACCCTTGATCCTGCTTTTCACCCCCACCCCTCTGGGTGTATCATCCAACGAAGCACATCCGTAGCCAAGAGTCATCAATCATGCTCTCCAATTAAGATTTTTTCGTTCAGCCATCTAATCAGTCTTTGAAGAAAATATGAATGGAAGGTACTTTCGATTCCACACTGTTGCCTGCTCTTTGACCACCACCCCTGTTTTTTTTCTATTGTCAACTATAAAAGGTGTATAATAATTATCCAAGACTTTTATGGACAATTATATAAACAGAAGGATTTTGATGAGGAAAGAATTAAGCTTTATCTACAAAATGCTAACCTACCCAAGATATCTGAAGAGACTGAAAAAATGTTAGAAAGTACCATAACAATGATGGAACTAACGGAAGCATTTAATAGGCAGAATAATGGAAAAGCACCAGGCCCAGATGGGCTCCCGGCAGAATTTTATAAAACATTACAAGAATCGTTGAGCACTCCATTGTTAGAAGTTATGAATGAAGCCATGTTAAATAAGAAAATACCCAAAACATGGTCAGAAGCTTATATCACACTTATTCCAAAAGAAGGGGCTGATCCATCACAAATTAAGACCTATAGACCTATTTCTTTACTGAATGCAGATTACAAAATCTTTGCTTCCATCTTGGCAGAAAGGCTCAAAAGATACCTAAATAACTTTATTCATCCTGACCAGAATAGATTCCTGCCAAGGAGACAAATTAGGGATAATATGAGGGTAATTCTGGACACTTTGGAATATTACGAGGCGCATCCTGAAAACTATAAAAGGTGTATACAAAATGTTTGATGAGTTGACAACAAGACGAAGAAAGACAGGGGGGATGTTGGGAGATGAGAGACATAAGGAATGATGGAATAGAGAAAGGCGCAGGGACGTAGGCCCGGAATGGAGGCACGGGCGATGTGAATAACTTTAGGCGGATGTCAGGCAACCAGGGATGAATAGGAGAGGGCGGAGCAACGGAGATATATAATGCGCTGAGAGGCAGCCGCACTCCGCGCTAACTTTGACTGGGATACTTGTTCCCACCTGTTGGGATCAGATTGTTGTCAATAAATCGGGTGCGGCATCTCTAACACATGAGTTAAAGACTGTTTATTTGACACAAATGCTCCAATTCCCCCTGGGAGGATGAGACCTGCAATCAGGGGTGGGTTTGGACCGGTTTGCACGAACCGGTAATTCTGGTGATTAGTTGGCCCCATATCTCTCCTATATTTCCATATTTTGCAGCCCAGCTGGTTCATGCTGCACAATGTATTGCCGCTCCTCAGCTGTTGCAGCAGAAGGTGAGTGTTTTTAAACACTGTGCACGCACGCAAACCAAACCAATTACATCACTGGAGCGCGCTCTCACTGGACCAGTTATTACACCAGTCGAATCCCATCACTGCCTGCAATCCTCTTTGTTGGAACTTCTCTGCGCTTTTTCTAGATCAGTGATAGCGTGTGTGCCGGTACCCACAATCCAGTTGTGCCCCATCACACATGCACACACAACCCCGCCCCGCATTGTTACCTGCACTGCGCATGTACGCACCTCCCAGCTGATTTTCAGTCCATTTGAGGCTGTTTTCGCCCTCCTGGAGGCTTGAGGGAAACCTCTGCAGGTTCAGGAGGCCGAAAAACGGGCTTTTCGGAAATACCGGAAGTGCCAAAATGGGCTCATTTTCAGCCTCCCGAGGCTCCAAAGGCTTCCCTCAAGCCTCTGGGAGGGCGAAACCAGCCTCCCCCAGGCTCCAGAGGCCCTGAAAACAGGCACTTCTGGTAATTCTGGAAGGCCCATTTTTTGGCCTCCGGGGGCTGCAGAGGCTTCCCTCAAGCCTCCGGGAGGGTGAAAACAGCCTCAAATGGGCCGAAAATCAGCTGGAAGGTGCGCACATGCGCAGTGCAGGTAAGTGGGGCTCACGTGCCTGCACAAATGGCTCCGCGTGCCACCTGTGGCACTCATGCCATAGGTTCGCCATCACGGTTCTAGAGTTTCAACATCTTTTTTTTATGTCACGGTAATCAAATTTGGGTGCCTTTCATTCATGGACACATCTGTAGGCCTCTGCAATCAAATTGACTCTTAGCGGCTTCGCTTTGAAAATACTAACAGACCCCGCGTAAGCATTAAAACGGGGCTCTAAAAATAGAAAGGGGAGAAGTGTTTTGCATGCATTTGCTTACATTTGCATTTAATAACACTGAGAGCAGTGAACCTGGGTGCTGAAGCTTTGCCGCAAATTGCTCATCAGTTGCGCCCTCTGATATGGTCCTCGCAATTTCCTCCCCTTTTTGTGGCTTGCTGAGGTTTTATTTTGCAAGAAAACAACCAAGCTCAGAGACCATCAATGATCCCACAGTTGTCATCCTCCTCCTCCTCCTCCTCCTCCTCACAACAAACCCCTCTCCTCCCTCCTTCCTCTATAAACCCATTTCCTTCTAGTACTGATGATGTTACCTAGCTGGGCAATGAAATGTCTACAAGAAAACCACCACGCTCAGAGACCACCAAGGATCCCACAGTCGTTGTCGTCGTATTCCTCCTCCTCCTCCTCCTTGCAAACCCTACTTCCTTCTAGCACTGATGACATTACCTAGCTGGGCAATGAAACGTCTGCCAGAAAACCACCATGCTCAGAGACCACCAAAGATCCCACAGTTGTTGTGGCCATCATTGTCATCCTCCTCCTCCTCCTTCTCGCAAACCCTACTCCCTTTTAGCACTGATGATGTTACCAAGTGGGCCACGAAACGCCTGCCAGAAAACCGCCCAACTCAAGAGAAAACCACCACAGCTCAAGTGGACGCAGGCCTGTTTTCCTTCCCCACGTCAACCCAAACCGGAAGCTTCCTCACGGCACCCACTCTGTCTTCTAGATCCCCGGGGGCCTTTCCCCGTCAACTTACACAGCATGTTGGTCACCTGCCTCCGGCGTGCTTTCTTCTGCTGGAGATGGGCACTCCAGTGGTCCGAGCGGCTTCCGGTTTTGGCCTCCAGCGCCTCCAGCAGCTTCTCCTTCCGTAGCTGCAACCCGATGAGCAGGTAGAGGACGCTGATGACGGCCATGGGGATGAAGAAGAAGAGGATGGTGGTGAGCTGGATGAGGAGGTTGTAGACCACGGGAGACTTCACCAGCGTGCAGGTGTCCGAGTCGGGAACCGGCCCCCATCCGGGCACGTAGAGGGTCTGTATCCCGTGTAGGCTGGTGTTGGGGATGGAACAGACAACAGAGAAGAGCCACACTGTGACAATGACCTTCTGGGCGTGCTTCTTGGTCACCATGTACTTAGCCTTCAGAGGGTGGACCACGGCGATGTAGCGCTCCACGCTGAGGGCCGTCACGTTGAGGATGGAGGCAAAGCAGACGGCCTCGAAGAGCAGGGTCTTGAAGCAGCAGCCCCCGGCCCCTAAGAGGAAGGGGTAGTTGCTCCACATCTCATAGAGCTCCAACGGCATGCCGAGGAGAAGCACCAGCAGGTCCGAGACGGCCAAGCTGAACAGGTAGTAGTTGGTGGGCGTCCGCATAAAGCGATGCCGGATGATGACCACGCAGGTTATAATGTTGCCCACGGCCCCCACTGCGAAAATGAGCAGGTAGGTGGTGCAGACGGGGACGAAGAAACCCGAGCGGCGAGGGCCCAGGTATCTCGTACGCAGCTCCTCGGCGGTCATGTTCAGCAGCTCGCGGTCAACGGATCTCGGTTTTTCCTCGGGTGCGCTTCCGTTGCTTGAGTCTCCGGAAAGCACCAGGCCCAGCAACTCCATGGGGGGGAGGGGGGGAGGGAGGAGAATTGGAGCAGTTGGCCGAGGATGGCAGTTGTTAAATGAAGCATGCAGTCAGTAAGCGAATTTGGGGTTCCTCCCCCCCTTGAGTCAGGCTGGAGAAAAAGAGCAGTTAGTTAGCAAGCTGGCATGGGGGGCAGGGGGCTGTGTGGCAAGTCTGAAAGCTTGAAGTTTTCAGAATATGAGTAGGCCGGGAGTTCTCGACTTACGACCGCAATTGAGGACATTTCTCTTAGCAATCGCAGTTAGACTTATATACCACTTCGCAGTGCTTTTACAGCCCTCTCTGAGCAGTTTACAGAGTCAGCCTCTTGCCCCCCCACCCAACAACAATCTGGGTCCTCATTTTACCCACCTCGGGAGGATGGAAGCAGGGGTGGGATCCTGGGGGCTCGCAGGAGCTCAGGAGAGCCCCTAGCTAAAACCCTGCGAAGCTCAGAGAGCCTCCAATAACCTCAGAAAGACAAGCAGCCAGGGAAAGCTCTTCATAGGCTTAATTGAACTTCTGGGCGTTCAGCCAAGAGCATTTCACAGCTGGTAAAAGTGTGGCAAGCTAGATAAACACTCCACTCAGTAGTTGCAAGGGGGAGACATTGAGAAAATCAGATCACATAGCCACTAGATTCCGAGCGGATTAATCCCCAAATAATAAGAATCACGTAACTCACCGGAAACTCCACTAAGACTCCAAGATCCCTCTCACAGTCACTGCTATTAAGCCTGGTTCACCCTGTCTTTCATTTAAGTATTAAATGCATGAAATAATAAACAACTTTTTGGTATGTATGTATGTATGTTATGTACACACACACACACACACGTACATACATACATACATACATACATACATACATATATATATATATAT